GTGTTGAACTAAAAGTTTTTTCCGCAGCTGCATAGAGAAAAGGAAGCTCTCGCCATGTAGCAAGTGCGGAGGGGAAGTGTGGCAGTGCGGGAGACGGGTGGCGGGTGGCTGGGAGCGGTGATGCAGGTTGCGGGATGACAACACCTAAAACGCCACAAAACAAAAAGAAAACAATGTAACGGCAAATGGCGGCAAATAAGAAAAGCCACGCACAGCAGCAACAGCAGCAGCAGCCAGCAGCAACAAAATCAACTACAACAACAACAATTTGCAGACCACAGAGCAGCTTGTCTGCTCCACACGCCAATGCCACAGCCACTGCCACTCGCAGCCACCAATTGTGGGCTGCTTGGTGTCGGTGGGTGGCCAGTTGTCAGTTGCCACTTTTCAGATGAAAACAACATGAAACAGAGCCCGAAAATGGACCAGCGACTGAGTCAGCGACTACAAAGTGAAACAATGCGACATGTTGCGCTCGAAGGGTTTTAACTGACACATACGCACACACACCCACACACACACACACACACACACACGCACACACACACACACACACATACACACACATACACACACACACACGCGCACACACACACACACACACACACATACAGCCACACTATTCCACATGACTGTGGTTTGACCTTTAGAAAATGGCATGTGTTTTTTGGAAAATGATAAGCGTAGTGTTATTTTTTGGGGAGAATTAGGAATAATAGTTGAGCTGCTACTGCTGATACTGCTGCTGCTGCTGCTGTTGCAGCTGTTGTTGCTGCTGCGAAGCAAGCTGCGCTTTGCTATTAGCATGAAACTTGCCACAAATTAATTTCGCATGCAGACACAGTTTGATGTTGCAGGCTGCAATTGGCTTATGAACTGCCGTAAATCAATTCGTTAGCAATTTGTGGCATAAAGTGGCTTACTTAAAATGCATAGTTAGCAGTGTTTAGAGGGGCATGAAACTGAAAATTGATTATTCAATATGTCATCCTGGTAAATTAGAAGAGGGATCACGACTGCGAGATATCCTGTAGCCAATCTATTCCTTAGAACTATTAATAGTACAGAAAGATGTTGAATCAAGGAATAATTATAGAAGAAACTGAAGACTGGGAGATATGCTGTACCCAAGTCTTTACGCCTAAATAATACAGAAATATATTGAATCAGGGATAATTTATCGAGGAGAGATCTCGACTGGGGGATAACCTGCATACAAGGCCTTATCCGCTCGACTAGGATATATATATTCTACACATAACATTATAATCTGCATTGCCCAAAATAGGTACGAGAAGATATTCAATATTATATATTTCTAGACGAGAGAGAGCCCGGCTTGGGGATATCCTTAGTCCTTAAAGCGTTATTCCTCCTAAAAGTTGCTTCAAATATTTTTAGCGACATTTTTGAATTGAATGATTCCTTCTCTATGTTATATATATATTTGCACAATTTTATTGTAATCTTTTACTCATTTTTATTAACTTCAGTGCTTCGTAAGCAAAATTAATGGAAAAAAATAGGTAATCAATTTTCTATGTCCATAAATTTTATAAACATAATATTAAGGAAAGGTTGGTTACATATAAAAAAAAAAAATAAACAAGCAATTTTAATATATTATTAAAAAATCGAATCTTTACTTCTTTTTCGTCTTTCTTCAAATGTGATTCATGTCACATGTCCTTCATACCTCACAAATAAATATAAAATAATAATAATAAAACTTCAAAGATAAGCGACATATATCGTTTGACTAGTAAGACTCGAAGAATCTGAAGTAATCGAAAAGATTAAAGATTATTATTTTTTTTTGATGATTTGAGTAATTTGAAAGTTATATATATATATATATATATATAGCTCAAATCTTATAAATCATATGACAAGGCGTAAAATAGCAGCAGCGAATCTAAGAATTATCTAAAAGTAATATTTCGCTGGAAATATTTACTGAAATTTGTCATATTGCATTCAGCTAGCACAGTTATCAGGCATTAGTTAAATATTTGCCCAACTCGCTGAACCTTATCTTCGTTACGAGGGTCCCATAAAGTTGGCTATTCTTTCTCTGCCTCTCTCTCTCTGTCTCTCTCTCTCTCTCTGGCAACAACATTGCTCCCCTATCAGCGTAAATGCGTCGCTGATTAAGCCAGCGCCAAAAATCCATTTGCATTTTGCAATATTCAGCAGCTGCGCTAAATGAAAATTGTGAACAATTCACAATTTCCCATTCGTGCACTCATGCAAGCATTCAAGACGCTGATTTTGATAACAGCAAAAGCTTTGGGGTGGCACAAGCAAGTGCCCCAAATACGAAAATTGTACAGCTTACGGTTAACTATGAAATACTCTTATATGTAATATAATTACATAATACGTCGGCGTGCTTATCAAGAAATATCACGAATCAAATAATTAAAAACAAAGTGTTGCGGAAAATGGGGAAAAAACCCCCATCGATAAAAAAAATATTCGATTTTTCCCTTCAAAGCAAGATAAAAATTGCCACAGTTTTACTAGTCTACAGTTTTAATAAGTCTAATGTAAATAGATTGATAGACTGCAATATACCCAGTATTTAATGCTGCATTGAAAAGGGGTAAATATTAAATAATCATTACAGGAAGGCAACAAATAGGAATTAAAATCGTTTGAGAAATTGAATATGTTTTTGTATACTAAATTAACCGGCATTTTCTACAACTCATGATAGCTAATGACTTGGGGGGAATCAATATATTTCAATATATAATCAAGCTCTCTCGACTAATGCATTGTGTGTACTTTTTTTATATTTTTTTGTCTTAATATAGCCAACTAATAAAAATGTGCACTTTGCTGTTGCTTCTACCTTTTTTACTTGAAACATTTTTCGTAGGTGTTGGTTGGCTAACACAAAGAAAAGAAAACAAGGGAAAAAAAGCACAAAGTTTGTTTAACAAAGTGGTATTCAACGGCCCAATAATAAGTTCGCCATTGTTGGAAGGGAAAGCTAAACACGAAAGAGCAGCAGGCAAATATCCGTTGGGAAAAGCAAATAAATAACGGAACAGCGGCAAATGTAAACAATGAAAACGATGCGCAGAATTCAAGTAGAACTTTTGCAGTTGCGGCAAAATGTGAAACAACAACAGCAACAACAACAATTCAACAACAAGCAGATGCAAAAAGTAGTTACCCAAACAAGAAAAAAACAACGACAACAACAACAACAACACAGACAGCTCAGGTACAAATATCAATAGTAGAAGTAGTAAAAGTAGTAGTGTTGTTGTAGTTGAAGAAGTAGAAGTACTTAACATATTATACATAGAAGTCGCAGTCGGGCACGATAAGCACAAAACAAAGCAGAGCAAAAGAAAACAAAAATAAAGACTGAGATAGAGATAGACTAGACTGCAAATGGACAAATAAATTTACAGCAGTGAAATGTAGCAAATCTTTTAGCAAAGGCAAAAAGTCGCAACGTGGGCGGGCAATTGATAATGTTGCCCCACGGCGAGGTGCACAGCACAGCACAGCTTTGTCAGCCTTTATCAGGCAGGGGGGTTGATGAGAGCATGTTACCCAAGAAGCGCAGCGTTTCGGAAACAATTTGAAGGCCATAAAAGTTGATGTGGCATTCGCAACGCCTCCCAAGCAGGGGTTGGTGGGTGGGGTGCAGAGCAATTGAGTAGTGCACGTCGAAGACGTCGACACGGTTACTTTGGATGGATGAGCGGGCGTTAAATGAAAGAAAGACGCCTTAACTGCGACTGCGACTGCGATGAAGACGGTGACGGCGACAGCGACGTTGACTGCAAAACGCGTATTAAAAGCAAACACGCAAACAAATAAACATTAAGCAGCTGTTTCTTGGCGCCTTCAAGAGACTACACTTTCAAGAGAGCGAGAGCGATTGAACGTGGGAGAGCGAATGCATTTTGCATAAAGATTGAGAGAGAGAGCGAGAGAGAACAGGGTATTTGATAAGTTCACTCTGCCGGTTGCCCACGCAAATTGTATGCAACGGTATCAATCAGTGCATTACTTTACATTGCAAATACGCACAGTGGTTCAAGCTATGTAGACATTTGCTAAAAGTATTAATAACAAACTGCAGCAACTTGTTATTAGAATCGCCTTAATTTAATAAATTTATGCAATTAACTAAACAAAATTTCATATGTGCAAATTTGAATAGCCGCAAATCGGAAATCAATCATATTTAAATTATTTATAAATCAAGTTTGCAAAACTGAATCTGTCGCTGTTGAATATAAATATATATTATTTGCTTACATTTTAGAAGGTTGAAGGCAACAAAAATATGAATTTTCTGTATTTATTACACAATTTACATAATTACATATTCAGCTTTTGCCATTACAACTAATTTGAATCTATTAAATTACATTAAATATTTTTCAATAAAAAATTTTGATTTGATAAATTGTTGAGATAATTTAATTATGTTCAATAATTACTTTTACTTTTTACTTTACTTCTTTTTTTGTTGTTGTCATTGTTTTAGAACTGTCGTCACTGTGTAACATAGAATTTTTTCGATGTTGTTCACTTCGGCTGTGCTCGTTGAGCGGCGCTCTCTTGTTTACTGCTCTCTCGCCCTGCCTTGCAATCGCTCGTTCTCTCTCTCTCTCTCCCTTTCTCTCACTCTCTGTGTGTGTTTGGAGTGGCTGGCTGGCTGCTCTCTGTCTGGCACTCACCGCCCACTTGTCATTTGGCATTCACTCATTCATTGCTAGACTGGCAAACCTATTCCCCTCCCCCCTCCATGCAAACGCCTGCCATTGCCTATTGGCAACGAGACGACGACGACGATGACGACGTCGCCGCCAACGTCGGCAGAACGACGCTGCGGCATTTTGGCCACGGCTTTGGCTCTTGGGCGCTTGGCCATGTTTCAAGCGTTTCGACTGCGTTCAGTTTCAGTTCTGTGGCTGCAGCGTCAGCTACAAAACGGACTTATTCAATTGTTTGTCAAAACGCTGTCGTTGTCGTTGTCGTTGTCGTCGGTGTTTTGCCGTCTTCGCTACGTAAAACAATTTGAGCGCGTCGGGACAAAAGTTATTCGAAGCGCGTTTTGTGTCGCTTGAAATTTTATTACGTATACGCCGCGTGCCGTTTGCTTTCTGCTATTTGCTATTTGTGCCATTTATGCTTTGGCAATTTATTCGACTTGTGTCACAAGGCATGCCAAATATGAAACAAAAACTGAAAATGTAAATGCCAAGCGAGCAGCGAGGCAATGAACACAGCAAAGAGATAAAAACAACAACTAAAGCGATAACAACAACAACAACAGCAACAACAACAAATCAATGTCGATAAGGTGGCGCACGCGGCAAGCAATTCAAAAAATTATTAGCAAAAAAAAAACACCCAAGAAAATATACGACAAAAAGTAGTAAGAAATTCAATTGACATTTTTCTTCTTTTTTTTTTTATTCTGCGTTCTGTCTTCTTGCGTGATTGTTGTTGCTGCTTTTCACGTGATATGCGCGACCGTCTCAGATAAGCAAAACGGTATAAAAAAAGACAGATTGTTGTTGATTCGTCGCACAGACGAAGGGGTGTAGCGGGAGGTGTGTGTGTGTATGTGTGTGTGTGTGAGTGATTATTATGCGGCGACTGCGACATTACTAAACAGCGGGTGAAGAGGTCGCAAGTGTTTGCAGCCGTCTGATTATTTAATAAAACTATATAAATAAATTCGAAGACAAAACTAAAGTATAAATAGCGACAAGGAACAAACAAAAGCACAGGTAAAACTCATATGTAAACCAAATTGAAATTTAAATTGAATGAATAAAAAAATTGGGTTCAACTGCAAATTACGAAGAAATATTAATTAAAATCAACTGCAATTCACTAAGAAATCTAAATTATAGGTTATTATTGACTGTAAGCGCATAATACATATATTACAACAATATATATATTCTATGATATAAATAATGTATATAATATACAAGACTAAAAGACACCCTGAATTCAAATCTTTACCTATCACAAGTCCTATAAATTAACTGCTTTGCTTGGTCTTATGTCAAGGTATATACAATAGTCAAATATAAAGATATATCCTAAATTGATATACGCATTCTCAACGGTGTTCAGAGCGGTTAAACATTACCAAAAGCAACTGAAAAGAATTTTAAAGAATTTTCCGCATAAATTAACTCTTAATTTGTGCGTGTCAAAAACATATTTACCTCGCCCCGCACAAATGAAGTGCCAACAGTTTCGCAAAATTGCTACACGTATCTTTTACAATTTCCGAGAAGGAAGCAAGATGTGGAATTTATTGTGCCGTTGACAGCCAGATGCTAAGAGCTGCTCACTGCATATTCTAATCACTTGGCCATTAAATGAAAATAATAAATGCGTCAACACAGACACGCACAGACACACACACACACACACACACACACACACACACACAACAAGTTTTAGCAGCTAGTTGAAAACACTTTCCTAAACAAAAATCACACATCGAATTTGCATATGTATTTGAACAATGAATTTCAGTTTTATTTTAATAATCATTTCACGCTTGACGATTTTATATGAATTAAATGAACAATGTGTCAATGAAACACATGCAAATTTTGTTCATGAAAAGAATTTATTTACTATTTGTATACGTTTTTGCTGAAAGCATTTTGCATTTTTGTAGTTATTAAATTGAATATATTTCGCTTAAAAGCAGTACTCTTTTCGTAGTATTTTATCATATATGTCGCATGGGGCTTTAAGACAAGCAATTTGTCAACCAATTTCCTGCAAAGTCTGAAATGAAAACATAGTGCTGTAGTTCAGCTTCCCATATCTTATTGCTCCCATGGGAACAATCTGTCAAATGATAAGTGACTTGACTTGAGTTAACTCGCCAGTTCTGTGTGCTATTATCCCTTCTCCTCGCATTTGCACAGAAGTCATCGAGAATGGAGCAGTATATTATACCATCGCCATAGGAGCGATCAGTCAAAAGTTGAGTTCTTGAATGAAAAATATTACATAATAAAATTGAAATTATGCTTCTCGCATTTGGACAAGAAATCATCATCATTGCGGACTACCTTATCATATAGCTCACATAGAAACAATTGGTGGGGTTTTTTTTGTTCAATCTATATTATAATTGAGTAATCTTCGCCGATAACCGGCCTTTCTTGATTCTCCTATCAATATTCATTTATGATTCCACGACGAACATAAATAATCTCTCTTGTTAACTGTTAACTGTATTCTTCATCATCATTATCACAAATGAATATTCATTCAGCTTTTCCTCTGTGTTATAAATGATATCTGGTCTGCATATAAGTAATTGTAATTTAATACTAAATTGAACTGTCTCCGCTCAGATGCAATTTATTTAGCCTGGAATTAAATGGATTATTTTTGGCCAGGATTAAGTGAATTTTCAAGTTAATTGCAAAGTTTCGAATCTACGTCAACAAGCACAAACAACGATAATATATCCCAATCGGTAATTAGCCAAATCCCACAATGTCATTTATTGGCAACAATGCAAGTTCTGCTGCCAAAAAAAAAAACTGAATCAACTAGCAGAGAAAAAGACAAGAACAAAAGGGAAAACTTTTTTTTCAATTTGCCACAGAAATAACTGGGTGTGTGTGTTTAGGTGTGTGTGTATGTGTGTGCGTGTGCTAAAGCACTCATCATTATGCCCACATGTGACCATGGCCAAAGGCAGATATTGATGTCGATGTAAAAAACAAACAAAAAACGAAAAACAATTTCTGCTGACAGCTTTCATAATTTATTGGCCACTTATTGATTACGCAGAATTGCCGAAGGTTCCAGGTACAAATTCGCACAAAAACGACTTTAAAGATGTTTATCAATGTGTTTTGTTGTGGTTTGGCTACAGCTACTGCTGCTGCTGGTCAGCAGCACCTTTATTTTAATTTTTATTTATTTATTTTATTCTTTATTTTGGCTAACCATAATTTGGCAGCGAAATTTCTGCGCAAGGCTGACCAAGCGGAAACGAGATGTGCCCTGTGACAGCTGCTCGCAGCTTCCGGCCATTTGCTGGAGACAAAAATTGTTGTTGTTGTTGTTGTTGTTATTGTTCATGTTGTGCAATTGTTGCAATTTTATATAGCCACAAATGGGGCCAACGGGGTTTTGGCTAATCTGTTGCCAATTTGTTGATACATTTTTCCTTTTTCTATTTTGGAGTGTGATTTGTTTGTCTGCTCTTTGGTCTGGTTTTTTTTTGTTATTTCTTTGTGTGATTTGTTTGTCTGCTGTCAGCTTTTAAGGCTTTAACTTTAACTTATTCTTTTTTTTTATTATTTTTTATCGTTTTTGTTTTTAATATCAAAGTACATTTTGTGTTTCTGACGAGTGCTGTCGAAAAGTTTCTTTCGTATTTTTTTTCCAGTTGTTTTGCATATCGCACTCGCATTGCTGTACTCACTCTTATTATGCTAATTGTGCGTTCTTTGCCCCCTCGTCCCCACCCTCCCCTCGCTTAATTCATCACCCTTCAGTCGCAGGGGCGCTTGTTGTATTCAAAGAGGTTTTTTGTTTTTTTGGTACTTATTTGGGCGGAATTTTTAGCTGGTTGCCCTAATTAGTTGCGTGAAATTTATGCAGATCAGCTTAGGCTTGGCTTTTAAGCTGACAGCTGATTGTGCAGAAGAAGCTACACAAAAATAACAGCAAATAATCCTATACCAGCCCAGTTAGCCAGTCGAAGACCAAAAGTTGTAGCATACTTTGTAGCGCTCCACGTGCGAACAATTTCTTGTGGCGGCCAGGGAAACTCATTGAGGCAAATATATTGCTGACATGTCTTGCTTGACAGAATCTTGAAAACGAAGTCAAGTCTTTGCTTGTTGTTGTTTGAAATTTGTGTTTTACAACAGCATCCATTTGAATTCTGTTTTATTGACTTACTACAAATAAGACAAATTGAAACTTTTAAGTCAGATTAAACTAGAGTAAATGTTTACATTCAGTCAATACAATCAATAAAATTGAAAGCGTAAATAAGCTTTCTCTTTGTATTCTTAAAGAAAAAAGGAAATAGGAACATGCCTAGAATAAATATTGAATTGGATATTGCCAATGAGCTGCTTCGATATGTCTAAAGCAGTTATATATTGTGCCAGACAGGATATCCTTGTTTCAAATGTGCCAAGTGTGACGTCCTCAAACAAAATTGCTTTCTTTTTATTGCTTTTGTGAAAATATAAGGCAACTTCACCTGACAAGTCTGCAAGGAAGGGCTGACAATCTTGGAAAATTTATTTAAATGCATATATAATAATATATAAAAAAAAAATACCAAAAAGGATAAACACTGAAATAAATAAATTGTTAGTTCAGTAATGCGTATATGAATTATTTATGATAGTATAATATTTAAAAATTGAATAATAAAAAATATACCTGTTTTAACCTGTGAAGTCTGCAAAGAAAGCCCAAAAATCTTGATACAAAAAAAGTAATACATGTTTGAAATAAATGAAATATTAGTTCAGCTTCTTTAAATATTATGCAAAAATGTAACAATAACAAAAAATACGACGGCTTTACCTGTTAAGTCTGCAGAGAATGGCTGATAATCTTGGAAAATATATAAAAAAAATATAATAAATGAAATTTTAGTTCAGCAAGTCGTATATTTGTTGTCAGCTCAAACTCAAATAATGTTTAATGTCAGCACCCTTCACGTCCTGCACGTCCTGCACGTCCTGCAAGGCTAAATTTGCCACTTAAGTTGCTTAAACTGATACCCAGAATGTTGATGTTTGGTATTTAATCCCTGATTTAATGCCAAGTTATTTTGCTGTGCTTCTTCCACTTGATACTAACTTTTTTGTAACTTAGTAACTAGCTGTTTACTGCGTAAGGCTTGTGATTAAAGCTAATCCGGCGCATCTGACGACGTCTTTAACTTCTTGCGACACACTCTCTCATTTATGGCCGATGCATTAAACTGACAGCTTAGCGGTAAAGATGATCAATAAGCCAATCCCGAATACGCAATTGACAGGCGATAAGGGCAACCGTAGCATCAAGCATCAAGCAGCAAGCATCAAGTTATAACTAAGCGACGGTGCTTTCAAGTTTAACACAACCATAAAAATCTTTTTCTTGCTTATCACATGCACCCAACATTACGCATCAAATTTTTATGTGGCAACGAATATAATAACTTATATATATATATATATATATATGTCTATATCTATGTGTGTGCAGGGTAAGGCCAGTCAAGTGTAAAAATGCCCGAGAGTCGCTTACAGACACTCTCACACACACAGCCACACACACAGCCACACACACGCACACACACACGCACACACACGCCCAGGCACACACACACAAAAGCAGGCAATAATTTTGCATAATATGGCAAATTCGGCGCATGGAAAACTCATTTATCAAATGATGCCACCGCAACCACAACACACAATGAGAAACACAACGAACGAAAAAAGAGAAGCAGCAATTCTGCCAACCAACCAATGTTTTTAAATGAATCCACTTAAATCCACTCAAAAGCCGCAGCATAGAGTAAAATGGCAACGGTTATATAACACCTTTCATATATTTATACATATTATATATATTTATTTCTATATTTATATATACATTTGCTTATTTGTGCAATAGAAGTGGCCATAAAATGCCGCATTCGAAAGCAGTTAATTCAGCAATCAATTTTTGGCCAGTCAAACAAAACAATTGCCCGCGTCTCAAATAAATATGAATTCTA